CCCAGACACACAGGGTAGGACCCTGCGCAGCTCGGGGAGCCAGGAGGGGAAGCCCGGAGCGCGGGTACCAGAGAGGGAGCGAGAGGAGACGTCACGGTCCGCTCCGACCGCGGATTGAGGGCGGGCGGGCGGACGGCGTGGGGGAGCGAGGAGCCGGCGTGGGCCGGAGGGAAGGGCGCTTGTGGGACGTCACGGGAGGGCGTCTCCCATGCAGATGAGGCAGCGCAGGGGCTGCTGGTTGTGTCCCTGGTGTTGAAAGGCGATAGCTTTCCCGTGCCGGAGAGGGAGCATAGGGCAGTTGGTGGCAGCCGAGTGCATGTGCCGCGTGGGCGAGCTAGGAGGTTCGGAGAGTGAGCGCGAAGGCAAGTGACCGTGACTTAAAAGTGAGGAGCGTGGAGGGCTCCTTTGGGGTGGCGAGCGAGCAACTCATACTTACCTGGCAGGGGAGATACCATGATCACGAAGGTGGTTTTCCCAGGGCGAGGCTTATCCATTGCACTCCGGATGTGCTGACCCCTGCGATTTCCCCAAATGTGGGAAACTCGACTGCATAATTTGTGGTAGTGGGGGACTGCGTTCGCGCTCTCCCCTGGTTTATGTTGTTTAACAAGAGGTTTAGAAAGCTTTCTTTTGTTGCGCAGTTTAAGTTTTCTTGAAGAACCGGCGTTGTCCTTAAGAAGATCAAGGAGAGATTTTAGGATAGCTTCGTTCTTTTATGCTAAGAACGTATTTTGGTGCTTGCGCGCGCATGTGTGCTTTCAGAGTATTTACACAGCGCATCACAAGATTTTATGTTATTTCTCTGAAAATGCCGGTTTGCTTTTTGACCTGCTTTTTTCGTGTGCCTCAGGCTCGGTGTTCTTACTTCCTTTTCTAAAACTGGGCAAGCTGATGGCTTTATCTTGAAACGATTTATAGAAGGACTAAGAATCTTCTGTTGCTCACCGCTTCCATCGTTGTCGCACGTTACTAGCAGGATTACCCGGCAGACGGCGCTTTTCGTGGGCAGACAGTGAGTCCTACCACAGAAAAGAGACTCCCCAGCAGCAGGCCTGCTTGCTGACAAAGCCAAGTAAACTACCTCAGGTAATGATGAAGACATTTGAAGAGGCCGAGACGAGACGTTACGATCTCTTCTTGAGTTAGAGGCCAATTTGACCTACATAGACTTTGTTTCAAATAACAAAAGCAGCCAATTTACAGAGAAGACATGTTTATAAATTAAAAACGAATACGAAGCTACTTATGCAATAAATTTTCTCGCAGTCAAGAGGATTTTAATCTGGGAAGCTGCTACGTGTGATTTAAAATGAAAAATGTAATACACTGTACTTTCTAGTTTGATATTTAAATTGTCCTAAAAGCTGAGTGTGAGTACTATTAAACCTTTCCCTGGACCAGGGATTTGGCTCAGTGGTTCCATTGTCTGCCTCGCAAGTGCTAAGGGCCCGAGTTCGATGATCCCTGGTACCAAAAAACAAACCTTTCCCTGCTGTTTGAGAATGGAAGAAAGGATCCAGGCTTCGTGACCGAGATATTCTTCACATATCTTTGTTAGACCACCTGCTGATATAAGGTCTTTTTCTTTAGAGTCCGAATTTGAAATCAAAACGGATCTGCTCATCTGTAAGCCACAGATCAAAAACTGCTCAAAGGATTTCCCAAGATGAGGTTGCAAATGGTAGTGGTTCTTGTTTGTTTGTTGAGATAGGGTGTCCAATGTCGTTCAGACAGGCCTTGAACTCATCATATAGCCCAGGCTGGCCTCGAACTCACAGCGATCCTCCTGCCTCAGCCTGCCAAGGGCTGGGATTATAGGCGTGCACCACCATGCCTGGCTCAAATGACATTTTTTGCCATCTTGATGTTTTGCAAAGAGCCAAGGATGTGAACTTTTCCATCAGCCAAAACTATCCGCCTCAGTGTCACATTTCCTATGGTGAATTTGGCGTTTCTTCCTTTGCCAGCAGTTTTTCCTGTTGCTCCTGATGGTGTCTCCTTTTAGAGGTTTAACCCATGGAGTTTAGCAAGACTAGAAAGAGGTCATCCAGTGTGACAGGGCAATGCATCCTGCACCTGAAATCCAAGAATCAAGGCCTTTTACAATCGGCTGCTTTTGTCAGTGCACTGACATCCTTGCCTTTTTTACAAGTCCTGATTTCTACTTTTTTGGGTTTTTGTTTTGTGTTTGAAACAGACTCTCACTTTGCACTGCAGGCTGGCCTTGAACTATGTAGTCCAAGCAGTGATCCTCCTGCCTCAGCCTCCAGCGTGCTAGAATTACCATGCCTGCCTCTGATTTCTACATTTCTTGATTTTAAATTAAAGGGTATCTGGAACCCCAGATGTTGCACAACTGGAGTTAATAGCTTCCTGCAGTTCTCTTTAATGGCTCAAGTCTGTTAGCTGGAACAGGCACTGCAGTTTCTTCCTCCCTCGAAGGACTCCATCCCGGGAGGGGCGGGAAGCTGGACCTCTGGCTGGTGGGGCTTCGGACAGTGATGCCTGGGGCTGTTGTTTCCTTGCCCCTGGCCACCCTCGGGGAGGGGAACCCGGCGAACCCCTTCTCCCTGGGCCGAGTCTCCACCTCCCCTCTCCGCTGGGCCAGCGCACCTAGGCCTAGCTCAGACTGAGCCTACTGCACTGCAGGCCCCACTCGCAGACTTTAACACTGCCCACCCCTCTCCTTCCCAACAAAGGAGAGTATCAGCCCTGTCAGTTCCACCTTCAGAATCTCAGTAAATGCCGCCCGTGGCCTAAGCCAACTCAGAACCTTACAGCTAGGAGAGTGGTGGGAAATACGCCCGCAGCTTCCCACAAGGCCCATGTGGCACATCGGCCTCAGCCCAGCTCCTGTCCATCCCTTGGCTTCTCCCCCTTTCCTCTTCCTCCTCTTCCTTTATCTTCCTCACCTCTTCTTCCTCCTTTCTCCTCTTAAAACCATACTTCCAAATGAAGACGGTAGTAGTATCTTACTTTCAACGATAATAGGGCAGCCCCTCCCTTTCCTCCGAAGAGGATAAAGTCCCTTATTTGTCTCTGATGCTCTTTTCTAGCTGAGTCATTATTCCACATTGGGTATCTTGTAAATTAAATAACGAAAGGAACAGTTAACTGTTATGAATATATGTTAGGAAAAGAGAAGAAAAGAGAAAACACTGGTCAATATTTACTCATGGCACAAAAAGGAAGAAGTGCAACTATTGAAGTCCTCTTTTCTTTTGAGACAGGGCCTCACTGTGTAGTTCAGGCTGAACTCACTATGTAGCCCAGGCTGGCCTCGGACTCACGGCGATCCTCCTGCCTCTGCCTCCCGAGTGCTGGAATTACAGGGGTGCCACCGCCCCTGGCCCAGTCTGTTTTAACATAGCCGTTACTGCTGCTGCTAGTGCAAGCTTACTTATCTTGAGAACAAAAACTTTTAGACCAGCAGATCCCAAAGGTGGGAGGGTGGGAAAGAAAACGTTCCCTTGTGGTAAAGTGCGAGTAGCTGCCTCTACTCTCCCCACTGGAGACGCAGCACCCTCTCTTGGTAACTAGCCGGGCATGTCCTGCCTCCTGCAGGACAGTGCTTAGGGCCTCAAGATGTCATCCAGCTAGCACTCCCACCATCCCATCACGGTGGCTTCTCCAGGGTCAAACCAGCGCGTTAACCCCGTGCTCTGTCGAACGAGTTTCTGGTAAAGAACAATGCTATGTGGAAGGCCCTGCCGTGGAATAAAGCATTCCTGACCTTGGCAGGGTCCCTCCTGTGGTCCTGTGAGAATTCCGCAGCAGAGCTGAGGTCTGGAGGAAGCCTTTACCCCATGTGTGCGTTTCTTGCCCTTTCTTCCATAGAGGTCCCCTTGGTGGCCACAACCTCCTCAGAATATTTTTTAAATGACGCTGAGGGCCTCGTCCAGGACCTTGGGCTACATCCCCATCCTGAACAGTGGGTTTTAATGCACAGAACTGTAAGGAGCGGGGAAGGGGACGTTACCAGGACCTCCAGCTGCCAGGCCCGTCTGAGTCACTCAGGGCTTCAGTCTGACTCCTGATATAAAACAGCAGAGTGGAATTAGGGAAGGCAGGAAGCACGTGCCACTCAGCCCACAGTGCCGGGCAGGGATGTCTGCTACACAGAACACTTAGAATACAAAGGCAATTTATTACCCTTTTATCTTTATGAGGCTTCCATGGTCTGATAGTGGAATGAGGTAGAACCAGAAGTGACCAGCTGAACTTAACCAATTCCCTAGGCCTTGACCCAAGATTATTCTAGAATTGAACTGGTGCAGAATAGGAAACCTGGGATTTTACCGGTCTCAGGAACTCTTGTAGTTGAGGAGACAGAAGTAATTCCAAGGTCACACACCCCCTCGTGGTGGCTGTGGTGATCTGTACAGCTGCAGTGCCCAATCCTAAGAAAACCAGACCAACTTGCGGAAGAGGGATGGGTGTTGCTCAGCTCTTTGAAATTAGATGTCTGTGCTATAAACCGAGTAGCAGGATGAGGCAAGGCCACGACCTTCTCTTCTCCTAGAAACATGAGATCAGTTGCCCAAATGTAATCTGAGTTGAGACTGAAGGTGACCTCTGTGTATCGTGTCGCTGGTGATGAACGAGGTCTACACAATGCATGATTTCCTCTGGTCGGTATTATCACGCCCGGCTTCTACTACTACTTCTACTACTCTGCCTGCTACTTCTCAGCACTGGGAGGGCCTGGGTGGTGGACAGGACTTGCGGTGTTGAGGTGGGAAAGGGCTGGGAGAGCGACTCCACCCTCTCCCGGGCCAGGCTGAGAATGACTTTTCCTTGGGCTCCTTTCTGCCCAAAGGAACCGAGAAGAGAAAGGACATCTAGGATAAACGGGTCTTTTTCGACTCCCATGAGGACTCACCGAGACTTACCACGAATTCTATCACTGGAATGTTCAAACGTTCCATGACTGATTTCTGCAGAAATCGGAGAAGAGGGCAAGAATGCGGCCTGCAGCTCCCCAGGGGAGGCGGAAGCAGACATCGCCTTTGGCGTAGGTGACGCTGGCTGCTGCCCAATGACTTCAGATAAAGCACCCTACTGTGCTTGTTCTGAAACCCTGGGGTGGGGTGGGAAAGAACTGGTGGGAGGAAGGTGCTGAGAGACCGAAGAAGAAAGAGGCGGACGCAGAGTGCAGTTTATTAGGGACAGAAGCCAGTGCGCTTTTCTTCTGTTCGTACACTGTAGGTATACAGTACAGCTGCTCTCATCACTGGGATCACGTACCTTTACACGAGTATCTTGGTTCTTTTTTCCCCATTCCCCTAGCCTCCCCCACCCCTCCACTCTTCCCTATTTACAAAGACTTTGTTTCCATTTTTTCCTTTTCTCTTTTTTCTCTTCCCTTTTTACCTTTCCCCTACCCCTCCCATTTACCCAATACCTTTAGACCTTTTCTTCCTGCTACGCAATGTCAGTTATACATGCTGACCCTTATTTACACTTTTAGTCTATCACACCAGAGAAACGATACGGTATTTACACACGTGTGTCTAATTAATTTCACTTGAGTATGGCCACAATGTGCATCCACTTAGCCGTAGATGTCTCTAGTTTCTCGTTCTTTATGGCTGAGTAGTACTCTGTTTTATAAAAATACCACATCTTCTTTATCAAGTCTCCAGTTGATGGGAGAAGCCAATGCATAGGGACTTGGGCAGCAGCAAGACAGATGAATCCCAGCAACCTGAGGCAGGAGAATTTTAAAGCTAAGCTAGAGAGAGGTGGGCAACCAGAATATACCTGGGCTTTGTCAAAAAAAAACAACAAAAATTATTAATATACCAAGCGTCCGTGAAGCTGTTCAGGGGCTGTGGATGGAATGCAGGGGTGCAGCGCTCGCCTAGCAAGGCACTGGGGTCGCTGCTTCAGCAAAGACAACAGTAACTGGCAAGGCAGCTCCAGGTTTGGAATGAGTCAGGGCTACCCAGCGGGCAAAGGGCAGGTATGGCCAGGACAGCTGTACTCAAGCTGGAGCCCTACAAAGACAGGAGCGATGCTTGTCTACGAACCCATCAGCACGAGAGTCCCCTATGTGCCTCTGCTTCTCCCTGGGGGCCACAGGCCACGAGTTCTTGCCTTCTTCTCTGGTGGTCTGTTGCAGGAATAAGGCCCACCCTAACCTGCATGATGATAAGTACAGAGTTAGCTATTATCAAAGAAAATAAATATATGAAAAAATGTTCAGCATCACTGGTCATTCAAGAAATGCATATTGAAACTACTGAGAGTCCACCTCACCCAAGAAAGAATGGTTATCATCAAGAAATCAACCAATAATGAATACTGGAGGGGCTGTGGGGAAAATTAACCCTTCTCCAGTGTTGGTGGGAGTGCAGACTGGTGCAATCAGTGGAAATCAGGGTGGAGATTCCTCAAAAACCTAAAACTACAGGTTCGATCAAGCTATTTCCCTTCCTTCCTGGTAGCTTCCTGAAAGAATTATACCACACCATCATATGCATACCCATGTTTACAGCAGCTCAGTTCGTATTAGCTTAATCTGGGAAACCCCACATGCCCATCAACTGACAAAGAGGTGAAGATGTGATTTTTTTATACAATAGAATATTACTCTGCTACAAAGAAGGCTGAGCTTCAGATATTTATAGCCAAATGGATGCACCTTGAGACCATACTCCTCAGTGAAATAAATCAGACACACGTTTAAATACCGCACTGTTTCTCTGGTGTGAGAAACCAAAAGAGGCAATAAGGACTAAAATGCATAGCAGATACTGGGAAATGGAAATAAAGTGTTCAAGTGGTAAGGGGAAGAAGGGAGAGGTGAGGAAAGGAAGGGACAGGAAAAATGGAAACCAAGCTTTTGAACACAGGGAGGGGGAGCGAGGCGGAAAAAAGGAGGAGGATGTGTCACGTACAGGGGCAAATTCCCTACGGTGTTATCATTATGCATGCCTAAAATGTACCAATGAATGTGGAGCTCTCGAGGATTTTCATCTCTACTTAAGTGGGATTAAGGCTACAGTTGTCATACACCATAGTGCCTTTAGCAAACAGCGCTACTCACTGCGCCACCGGCTCACTCTGAGGCCGCGTTCACAAAGTCTTGAGCCGAACCGGCGGTCGCGCGCCTCCTCTCCCCTAAGGCGCAGGCGCAGGAGAGGAGGGGGGCGGGATCGGGGGGCGGAGTCGGAGTCCGGGTTATGGCGCCCCCTCCCGGCCTGCGGCGCGCAGCACTGCGCCGGAGCGAAGGGCCGTCGGCTTTCCCTGACCTGTTCCGAGGCCCGCGTTTCCAGAGTGAAACCTCAGAGCTTTACGGCTTTCATCACCGTAGACAGTTAAAGAACATCTGTTTTCGTATTCTAGAACACCAACCGCACACAATCACAAGGCGTGACCGCAGGGAAGAGGTGGGGAGCGGGTGCCGCTGCGCCTTCCGCTGGCCCTCTCCTCACCGGGTGACGGCTCCCGGTCCCCCTCTCCCACTCGATGTCCCTTCCTCCTCGGCTTCCCCAGTTCACTCAGGGACCCACGAGCCAGGCTGGAGCCCCCAAGTCTCACAGGGACC